GTTCCCGCTAAGGGCATGTACCTCGGTTGCAGTTTGTCTCCGGCCCTGGTTGGGTCATGTGGGTGGCAACCACTCGATGTGTCCCTTTTACATCAATGTTTCTCTCTCTCTCTCTCTCTCTCTCTCTCTCTCCCCCCTCCATTCCACTCTATCTGAACAAAATATGGAAAAATGTCCTCAAATGAGGATTAAAAAAAAAAAAATGTGAAAAAACAAAACAGAATTCAAGTGAGTAATTTGAATATCTAATTGGCTTTATTAAGCGATTCATGAATCGGGCAGCACCCCAACCAGCAACTAGACAGTACCCTCCAAGGGGCTGAACAGAATGGAAGGTTGTTATGGAAAGAAGGGTGGGGTAACGAAGCTACTGGCAAAGGTAAGGAAAGGCTTATTTGGGGCCCTGACAGCTTCTCTTTGGGGAAACAGAGGGAAAGGATTTTCCTCATGCAGATGCCCTCCTCTTTCTATGGCGGATGGAGAAGGCACATGTGAGATTATTTCACGGGTGCTTGACCAGAAAATTTCAGACTGGTTGATTAAGATGAACTGGGAGAGCCCGGCCATGTGGTTCGGTGGATGGAGTGTCGTCCCAATGGACTTGGAGGTCCCGGTTGGATTCCCGGTCAGGGCGCATGCCCGGGTTGCAGGCTCCATCCCCAGCAGGGGGCGTGCAGGAGGCAGCCGCTGATGTTTCTCTCATTGATGTTTCTCTCTCTTCCTCTCTCTCTTTCAGAATATAATTAAATGGGAGAGGTTGAAACTAAGATTAAATTTAGGTTTGGTATCAAGGGCTTTTTGCACTGAGTGACGCCATTTTGAGCCTGTGGTTTTCAACAAATTAACTCAAGCAAATCTTCTTTTGTAATTACTTTTATTGTTTTAAAAAACCCTCCCACCAGAGGCCAGATGATAATTTGAGATTGTTTAAAACAGATTCTAGTTTGCGTGTTCTGGAAATTCAAAGCATTATTGCCGTTACCTCACTTCCAATCTAACACAGAGCAGTGGGAACAGAACCGCTGTCTGCAGGCATATTGTTACGATGTCGAGTTTTTCTCTACATTTATCTGCTGCACACTTATAATTTAAGGATTTATAAGGAAAAATTATTTTTTCAAAATTTAAACTTATTTTTTGTTATTATTAAAATTTTAAATTTATTTTTCAGTTACAGTTGACATTATGATATTATGGTTTCAGGTGTGCAGCATAGTGGTTAGACATTTCTACTTAGGAGGTGATCTCCCCTGTCTAGTACCCACCTGGCACCACACATAGTTATTACGATATTATTGACTGTATTCCCTATGTTGTACTTTACATCTCTGTGACTATTTGTAACTACCGATCTGTTCTTCTCAATCCCTTCACCTTTTTCACACAGTCCCTACCCCTCCCGCACGTTTGGCAGCCATCCATTTGTTCTCTGTATCTATGAGTGTATTTCTGTTTTGTTTGTTCATTTATTTATTTATTTTAAGGTTCCACATGCAAGTGAAATCATATGGTATGTATCTTTCTCTGTGTGACTTATTTCACTTAGCATAATACCCTCTAGGTCCATCTGTGCCATCGCAAATGATAAGATTTCATCCCTTTTTTTACAGCCAAGTGATATTCCACTGTATATATGTACCAATTTAAACTTATTTTAAAACTCTGGGTATTTTTACACATTGTTTTTTCCCAAAATAGTATCTCAGTTTCAAAAATGATCTCCTGTAGTGAAAATTAGCATTATGTGTTTGAGAGATAAACCGATTTCAAGACATAAAAGTTAAATTCCTTTGATTAAAAAAAAATATATACAGGCCCTGGCCGGTTTGGCTCAGCGGTTGGAGCGTCGGCCTGCGGTCCTGAGAGACCCGGGTTCGGTTCCCGCTAAGGGCATGTACCTTGGTTGCAGTTTGTCTCCGGCCCTGGTTGGTTGTGCGGGTGGCAGCCACTCGATGTGTCCCTTCACGTCAATGTTTCTCTCTCTCTCTCTCTTCCTCTCTCTCCCTCCCGCTCTATCTGAACAAAAAATGGAGAAATGTCCTCGGGTGAGGATTTAAAATACATATATATATATACAGTATGCATAATTAATAATGATAAGAGATGCTACTTATTGGATGCATTCAATAAGCCAGGTATTAGGATTTACTCAATTTTAAAAATAACGTGGCCAGTCCTTGCTGGTGTGGCTCAGTTGGTTGGAGTGTCTTCTGGTACACTAAAAGGTGATGGGTTCGATTCTCAGTCAGGGCACATACTCAGGTTGTGGGTTTGATTCCAGTTAGGGTGTGTGGGGGAGGCAACTGATCGATGTTTCTCTCTGTCTGCCTCTCTTTCTCTCTCTCCCTTCCTCTCTCTAAAATAAATACAAAATTAAATTAAAAATAAAAATAACTCAGCCAAAATAAACCAGTTCATTTCTCTGTACCATATACTGCTTCTAAGTCACTCTACAAGAAACAGTAATAGTAGAAATTAGGAATGTAACTTGCCTCATTAAAAATAATTTGCCCTGTCCGGCCGGTGTGGCTCAGTGGTTGAGCGTCGAACCGTGCACCAAGAGGTCGCGGGTTTGATTCCCAGTCAGGACACATGCCCGGGTCGTGAGCCAGATCCCCAGTAGGGAGCATGCAGGAGGCGGCCAATCGATGTTCTCTGTCATCGATGTTTCTATCTCTCTCTCCCTCTCCCTTCCTCTCTCTCTAAAATCAATAAAGGAAAACAAAATTTAAAAAATGACAAAAAACATCTGCCCAGCCAAAGTGGCTTAGTTGGTTGAGCATCAACCCATGCATGGAAAGGTTGCGGGTTCTATTCCTGTCAGGGCACATACCTGGGTTATAGGTTAGATCCCCAGTCAGGGAGCATATGGAAGGCAACCAATCAATGTTTCTCTCTCACATCCATATCTCTCTCTCTTTCCCCCTTCCTCTCCCTAAGCATGTCCTTGGGGTAGGATTTTAAAATATCTATATATTTATATCTATCTATCTATCTATCTATCTATCTATCTATCTTGTTATCTGATCAAATGATTCATAGGGTTGTTTAAGTGCCATTGATTAAATTGAAACCACGAGTTACCACATTCTTTTAAGGCTTGTAGAATCTCCTGGGAAAACACACCCATCTTTAGTGCAGGTTCCTCAAGTTGTGTATTTTATACTTGCCAATGATTAACCAATTCTTTAGTGCTTGTGTTAAGAACTGTTTACCTATAGTAAAGCACTCGAACTTGCAATACATAAAATCCTCCCCACCACCCCAGATTTTTCAGAAAGTGATTTTAAGAATGCGCAGTGGCCCTGGCCGGGTTGGCTCAGCGATTGGAGCGTCGGTCTGCGGTACAGAGAGACCCGGGTTTGGTTCCCGCTAAGGGCACGTACCTCGGTTGCAGTTTGTCCCCGGCCCTGGTTGGTCGTGCGGGTGGCAGCCACTCGATGTGTCCCTTCACGTCGATGTTTCTCTCTCTCTCCCACTTCCTCTCTCTCCCTCCCGCTCTATCTGAACAAAAAATGGAAAAATGTCCTCAGGTGAGGATAAAAAATAAAAAAAAAGAATGCGCAGTGATTCCTTTTTCCAAAAAGGAAACAAGATTGAAGGTACATGGGGTTGAACTGAGTATTTATAGGTATATATGGGTATTTTTATAGGATTGGCTTGAACTGGAATAAATAAAATTAGCTTCAGTAACAAGTCATGTTGTTTCCTATCTCCAGGCTCTCCTCCTCTTGGATTTATAGGCAGACAGCCTCAAAACAACAAAAAAAAAGAAAAGCCAGTTCCCCCTTGCAAAATTCAGTATTTGTTTCATTTCCGCATACCTAGCTAAAAAGAAAATTTTTAAAGCTTTTTTTTTTTTCCCTCACCCGAGGACATTTTTCCATTTTTTTTTTTGTTCAGGTAGAGTGGGAGGGAGAGAGAGGAACAGAGAAAGAGAGGGAAACATCGACGTGAAAGGAACACATTGAGTGGCTGCCACCTGCACAACCGACCAGGGCCGGGGACAAACTGCAACCGAGGTATGCGCTCTTAGCAGGAACCGAACCCGGGTCTCTCAGGACCGCAGGCCGACGCTCTAATCGCTGAGCCAAACCGGCCAGGGCAAAGCTTTTTTTTTTTTAAGAGAAAGGGTGGGGTGGGGTGGTGGAGAGAGACATCAATGTGAGAGAGACACATTGATTGGTTGCGTCCCGCACGACCGGCTCCAGGACCAGGGATCAAACCTGCAACTCTGCTATGTGCCCTTGACTGGGAATCAAACCTCCAGTTCTTGGGCTGATGCTCTAACCACTGAGCCAAACCAGCCAGGGCTTTAAAGCTTTTTTTATTGTAGCAAAATATACATAAAATGAATTACTTTAACCATTTTAAAATGTAAAACTCAGCGGCATTAAGTACATTTACACTGTTGTGCTACCATCACCACTATCCACCTCCAGAATGTTTTCTCCATCCCAAATGCAAATTCTGTGCCCATTAAAGAGCAACTCCCCTTTGCTCCCCTCCTCACAGCTCTAGGTTCCTCATATAAGTGGAATCATACAATATCTGTCCCTTTGTGTCTGGCTATTTCACTTAGTTTAATGTTTTCAAGGTTCATTCATGTTATAGTATGTGCCAGAATTTCCTCTGTTTTTAAGGTCGAATAATATTCCACGTGTGCTTATATCATACTTTGTTTATCTAGTCATCCATTGATGGACACTTGGCTTGTTTCTGCCATTTGACTATTGTGAATAGTGCTGCTATGAACATTGATGTACTCAGTCAAGTGACATCTTGAATTGCAATGGAACCCTACCAGTTATCTTATTTCCCTCCTCTATGCCCCTGTTCCAGTCCATGTCTGAGCCCCTCAGTGTTGTGCCTGTAGCTACATCCGCCCCACAGGTATAAAGAGAATTTTTCTAAAAACCCCCTTTACCTTTACCCTTTCCTCCTTGGCTGGACTTTGTCCAGCCAGGTTTATTTATAAACCACACAAAGCTCATTAACATGACCAAGCATTTCAGCAATCCACCTTTGTTACTGCGGGAAGGCACTTCCCAGGGATAAGACAGTAAGACATGGCTGAGCAGAAAAGCAAGAGAGACTCCATTGGAATGGGTGTGAAGGGATGCCGGACAAACAATGGGTTTGTCCAAAATGAAGACATCCTGGAAAAGGACCTGGATCCAGGCAGCCGAGCGGACAGCCCACAGCACTGCACCATGGGCATCCTTGGCCCTGGGGAGCCCGACTTGAAGGACATCCAGCCCTACGCTGGGATGCCCAAGGAGGTGCTGTTTCACTTCTCAGGCAAGGCCCGGTACCGGGTGCCCCGTGAGGTCCTCTTCTGGCTCACCGTGGCTTCTGTGATCGTGCTCACTGGGGCCACCATAGCCATCATCGCCATCTCTCCCAAGTGCCTTGACTGGTGGCAGGATGGACCCATGTACCAGATCTACCCAAGATCGTTCAAGGACAGCGACAAGGATGGCAACGGAGATCTAAAAGGTGCCTGGGGCGGGAGTGGGGCAGAAAGTGTTGGGTGGGATCAGGATGGGTTGGGTTTGTGGCTTTCTGTGTCCTTGAAACTGAATTATGTCTAAATTGTATGGTAAGGACATTCCAGTATGACTGGTCATACCTTGTTTATGGTGTTTTTAAAGCCATGCAACAGAACCCGGAAATTCTTCCCATGTGATAAAAGACTACTTGGAGGACATTGAGCTCCCAAAGAGTTGTTTAATTTACTTCCCACTAAGTACATTTGCTTGGTTGGTCCTCAGTTCTAACTTCTCACACGCAGCAGGGTCCCTCCCGAAAGTTTGCTGCTCCCATGTACTTTACAGCTGGTCATCTCCGGGTGGCAGCTTAGAACTGCTTTTGCAGAATAGGTAGTGGCTATCGGGGCAATCTGGCTGAGTTTCCTGTTAGTGAATATAACGTATATAATATTTCAGCAAAAATTATTGTGATGTCATTAAAAGGTGTAGGCTGAGCCTTTAAAGTATAAATCCTGAGAAATGAAGGAAAGGAAAAAAGGTATGGCAGTGTGTTGGTCATTACTTGCATTAAAGATTATTTAAAACAGCCCTGGCCGGTTTGGCTCAGCAGTTAGAGCCTGCGGTCCAGAGAGACCCCGGCTGGGTTGAGTTCCCACTAGGGGCGCGTACTTCGGATGCAGTTTGTCCCTGGCCCTGGTTAGTCGTGCGGGTGGCCACCACTCAATGTGTCCCTTTCACGTTGATGTTTCTCTCTCTCTCTCTCTCTCTCTCTCTCTCCCTCCCACTCTATCTGAACAAAAAATGGAAAAATGTCCTCAGGTGAGGATAAAAAATTTAAAAAAAGATTATTTAAAACAATATTCATATTAATAAAAAAAGTAGAAGTAAAAAATTATATTTGTAAATTTACACTAATAATCTCCTACTGAGTTAAGTATAGAATGTCCTTATAATTTATTGTTTAAATTAGGATACTACTGAGTGTAAAATTGTGCCAGACAGCAGGCATACACTGGAGCTGTCCTGGGCAAATCTGTTGATATGGTCACCCTAATTAAGGGCAGCAAAAATAAATAAATAAACTAACAAAGTCATTTTTTGTAGTGATTGGCTTTGAAGAAAGTAAAACAATGGTTATTTTAGTTAAGTGCAGGGAGTAGGAATGAGTTTAGTCTAACTTTAACATGGTACAGATAAACTCAAAATCTCCAACTTTCCTTAATAACTAATAAAAGGCTTTTCTTTTGCACGCTCATCTCATTCTCTCTTTTTAAAACTCTTCCTGCACCTTCACTAATTGAAATACTATCTGTCCTCCAAGGTGCAGTTCAAACCCATTTCCTGCATTCACGTTTATTTTCTCCCTCTAATCCTTCCTAATCAGTGTGCTGACCTCCCTCCCTGTTGTGCTTTGGACTTAGTTTATAGTGCCCTCTGACACTGCCTCATGATGTATCCGGGTGACTTTCCTTCCACACCCCTCCACCCCATCCCACCTCACCCCACCCCACCCCACCCCACCCCCAATGGCTCTAGCTAGCGCCTGCTGCCTTTTATGTAGTAAGTGCTTAGAAAAAGTGATTTTTTTTTTTTTTTACAAAATACAGTTAAAATCCTTAAACCCAAAGATACATTCCCTGCTTCCTGGTTCTCCCTTTGTAACCGCCTCCTAGATACAGGTTCCCCCGCTATGCCAAAGTAAGATGTTCCTGTGAACCTTTCACAAGCTCAGTGGCAGAAAACAAATAAGCCATCATCATGAATGTATATGGAAAAATTGTTGCGCATCCCCAGATCCAAAACAACTTATTAAATCAAACCAAATAACACACAAAACCTAAAGTAACACTAACATATGGGAAAGCAGAAGAGATCCAATAAATATACCGGACACACCTTGCTAGTGGATGCACAGAAGAAATCGAGATAATGCACAGATGCTCACAGAGCCAGTGCAAGGCTCTGGGCTCCGAGCCGAGGTGCTGGGGGTAGTCCCCCCACGAAGGAGCTTGGGGCGCTCTCCGCTGCTCTGCTGCCCGGGGTACCACCGCCTCTGTCACAGCTGCTGCCAAACCAGGGCTAAACATGCTTTCGCTTTTCACTTTTTTCCTTAAAGGTGAAAATCCTCCTCGATTTCTTTTGGTTTGCAAAAACAGGTATTAATGTAAGTTTTTAAAAACAAGTTAAGTGGTGCCATGAGACTTGCAAAAAATAGGGGATACCTTTAAACCGCAAATTCCTGCAAACAAGGTAGCTTCTAATTAGCTCTTACATTTGTCATTTCCAATAACTTTTTCTTTAAAAAAATTTTTTTTTAAACTGATTTTAGAGAGAAAGGAAGGGAGAGGGAGAGAGAGACAGAAACATCGATGAGAGAGAACACTGATGGGCCTCCTCCTGCATACCTCCCACTGGGGATCTGGCCCACAAGCTAGGCATGTGCCCTGACCAGGAATCGAACCAGCAATCTCTTGGTGCATGGGTTGATGCTCAACCACTGAGCCACACCACCAGGGCCAATAACTTTTTCTTCAGGAACTGGCTGCTTCCAGTAGGTATTTGTCCTTGAGGCTGAGGGGATTTTCTTACTATTTGAAGAAACCATTGCAGGTTTCAGTTTGGTTTCGGTGGCTGCAGTCTGTCTCCTGGAGTGTGAGCCTGGGATCCCTTTTTTACTTTTACTTTGTATCTGTCCAGCCCCATCGTTTTTATCATCTTGTTCCTTTGTGGCTGTTCTTAAGATATATCATGTTGTTATCCTGACTTAAATCAAAATCCTTTTGCTGCCTGTTGACACTCAGTGAGGTATCGTAGCCACCCATCTGGGGGAACTGAGGCATGACAAGGACAAAACTGGCAGCGTGACATAGGGGAAGAGCCCCATGCCAGCAGGCAGGTGACTGCTTCTTGGGCTCAGTGACCTCTGGCCTGCTGTGTGACCCTGACAGGCTCTGACTACAGGAGGCTGGTCGGGTCCCACCAAAAGTTACTGGAGACTGAATACTAGACAACCCCTGAGTCTATATTTAGGACTCTGAACTAGAAGCAAAAAACACACCACCTGCTAATTACCCTACGTGGCTCCATGTACAGAGCGTTTCATTCTGCATCTCTTCGCAGCCAAGTCTAGATTTCTCTCAGTGAGTTCTTGGCTTCAGCACTGTCCAGAGGAAATAGGGTTACATGTGTAGTTGTACATTTTCTAGGAGCCACATTTAAATAAGTAAAAAAGGGTCAGGTGACTTAATTTTAATAATATATTTTGTTTAATATTTCAACATATAGTCACAATAAAAATATTAATAGGATATATTACATTCTTTCTTTTTCAGACTCAGCCTTTGAAATCCAGTGTGTTCATGTTTACAGCACATCTCAGTTCAGACTTAGTCGCCTTGCCGTTGCTCAAGAGCCATACGTAGCAAGGGGCTGTCACACCGGACCGTGCAGCTTAGACCAAGGGGCCATATGTTCTTCTTTGTTCCTTGGCACTTAGCCCAGCACCTAGATGAGGTGCTCAAAAACCATGTGTAGAATAAATTAACAATACTGTATTTTGATTTCATTTATTAATTTATTTATTTATTTTGTAATCCTCACCGGAGAATATTTTTCCATTTATCTTCAGATAGAGTGGGAGGGGGGGAAGAGAGAGAGAGACATCGATGTGAGAGAGACACACAGATTGATTGCCTGCCGCCTGACCCCTACCAGGGCCGGGGACCGAACTGCAACCAAGGTACATGCCCTTGACCGGAATTGAACCCATGACTCTGGTTCATGGGCCAACGCGCTAAAAACTGAGCCAAACTGGCCAGGGCTGTATCTTGGTTTTGAGTATGAAAAATGAACAAGCCACAGACAGATTTAATGTGACTGTAACTATGTTAAAGGTCAAAAGTTATTGCTAGAAGACTAACTTGATGTTGTTTATAGAACTAGACCTTGCTATTTGAATTTTTACTCAAATTCAAATTCTGTCTCAATATATATTTTTATTTTGGGCATATTTCTTTTATTTTAAAAATTTCGACCAAAAAGCCCAAACTTTATTTATTTATTTTTCATGGCCTTGTTGTTTTCCTTCAGGTATTCAAGATAAACTGGACTACATCACAACTTTAAATATAAAAACTGTTTGGATTACCTCATTTTATAAATCATCCCTTAAAGATTTCCGACACGGTGTTGTAGATTTTCGAGACATCGATCCCATTTTTGGAACAATGAAAGATTTTGAGAATCTGGTTGCAGCCATACATGATAGAGGTAAACTGAATGGGAGGGGGAGGGGCTTGAGAAAAGCATTTCTATAAATGTTTACCTAAAGCATTTTTTTCCCTTAACTGTCATGTATTATTCTAATATAATCTTTTCCTAACATTTGAAATGTTTTTACTTATTAGGTTTAAAATTAATCATCGATATCATACCAAACCACACCAGTGATAAACATGCTTGGTTTCAATGGAGTCGTGCCCGGACAGGGAAATATACCGACTATTATATTTGGCAAAACTGTTCCCATGAAAACGGCATAACCACACCACCCAACAACTGGGTAAGTACCAACTTGCCTGATTTACAAAATGAAGATGCTCAGATCTTCAGGGATTACACTGGTTTTTATAAAGCCCTTTTAAGGGAAAAATATTAATGGGTATAGTTTATGAGAAGGGGAAAGTTTTCCAAAGAAATAAAATAAGATACCCAAGCCTCGTAATGTGACTGGATTTCTGATTTCAGCGTAGAGGCAATGCATTCTAGCAGATCAAAACCTAGACTCCCAGTTTCGGTTCGTTCTGGCCCCAGTTGGGGTCGTGTGGGTGGCAACCACTCTATGTCTCTCTCTCACATCGAAGTTTCTCTCTCTCTTCCTCCCTCTCTCCCTCCCGCTCTATCTGAAGATAAGTGCAAAAATGTCCTCGGGTGAGGATTAAAAAACAAAACCTAGACTCCATTAGCCTCTCCTTCCTTGTTCCCTCACTTTCCACTTTGTCCAGCGTAGATTCCACGTCCCATTAGTTTCATAGGTATCTCGATACTCCAGACTCCTCCTTTCTGACACTTTGCCTCCCTGTCCATCAAAACCCTAGCCGTAAGTGAGCCCAGCTAGCCACCTTTCCTTTTCCGGACCTTTGCCTCTGGAGATAACACATATGCACTGTCTCCACATGACGTGAGCCATCCAGTCTCCTTGAGAGTTTTACTAAGTCCAACAGATTGACATGCCCTCCGTCCTCTTCAAACGTCCTAACTGCCGTCTCCCTATCTTATCATGCAGTAAGCTCCACCTTAAAGGGAGAGCAGTAGCCAACAAACCTGCCTGCCCCACTCCCACCCCTTCATACTCACTTGTCTTATAACAGAGGCCATGCCGGACTGTCTGGGGTTACCAGATTCACAAATAAAAACTGGAAGCCCAATGAAATCTGAATTTTTGATAAACAATATATATTTTTTTAGTGTAAAATATTGTGTGGGCTACACTTGCATAAATAATTATCCATTGCTTATCTGATCAATAGATTTAACTGGGTGTCTTACGTTCTATCTGGCAATTCTACGGCCCCAGGCCAGCCCCTCCACCGGCTCTGGTTCATATTGTCTCCTGATTCCTGTGGAGCCTTCTACTCTGGATCATCTCTCCCCACTCCAGTCTCTCCTTCTCTCTTCTTGGCTTCTCCATAAACATTCAAACAGGCTGGCTCCTGGGCATCAACTCTCTGATGGCTCAAGGGCACTCCAAATCGACAGGAATCACAGCTGACTGGGATCTTCTCCTCCCACTTCCCTTATCCCAGGTCCATCGAATGGTACCAGGATGACCCGGGTGAACAGGTCAGCAAGTCCTGGCAGTTTTACCTCCTTAATTTTTCTTTCCCCCAAACCAGCCACTTGTTAAAATGATAATGATAATAGCAAACATTTACTAAATGCTTACTAAATGCTTGCTATGTGCGAGGCTCTGTGCTAAGTGTTTTGTATTCATTAGTTCGTTTAGTTCACCCTACAATCCTATAAAGCAGGCTTTAATTCCTGTTTTGCAGATGAGCAGACTAAGGCAGAGAAACATTAAGTACCTTGCCCAAGGTCACACAGCTAGTAAATGACAGGGCTGAGGACTGGATCTAGTCAGTCCAACTCTGCAGTCTGCTTTTATAGTGGCTACCTGGCCCGGCCGGTGTGGCTCAGTGGATTGGGGGTAGTTTCATGGACTGAGAGGTCCCAGTTTGATTGTGGGTCAGAACACATGCCCGGGTTTGGGGCTCGATCCCTAGTGGGGTACGTGCAGGAGGCAGCCGATCGATATTTCTCTCTCACATCGATGTTTCTCTCTCTCTAAAAAAGCAATAAAAATATATTTTATAAAATGGCTGCCTGTACTTCAAGCCATGTCACCTCGTGCTGCAGGACTGTACTGTTGCCTCTTTTTGGTATCCAGTTTTTCCATTCTCCCATCAGTTTTCCACAAAGCCAAGGTTGTGTTTTTGTTTTAATGCAACACTTGATGCTTTACAAAAATATGTGTAATATAAACACCTGGAGGTATAACCATGCAATGGAATACTACTCAGCAATGAAAAGGAATAAACTGTTGATATACAGCATTGATGAATCTCAAAATAACTATGCAGAGTGAAAGAAGCTGGACAAAAGAGTGTATACTATATAATTCCACGTACGTGAAATTCTAGAAGATCTGAACTTATCTATAGTGACAGGAAGTAGATTATTTGTTTAGAGATTGGAGGGAGACAGGGAGGAGTGGGAGGGTGGGATTAGGAATTACAGGGATGGATATGTTTACTATTTTGATCATGGAGAGAGGTATACATATGTCAAAACTGAAGATATTGTATACTTTAAATATGTGTAGTTTATGTATTCAATTATACCTGAATAAAACGGTTTAAAACTATCTGTAGTATTTATCTAAGCCAAGGAAAATAGTAATAGAGTGAACATCAATGAACCCATCCCCAAATTAAGAATGTAAACATTACAAACCTTGCTGAAACCACCTGTGAGCTCTTCCCTGTCCTTCCCCATGCCTCCTCTTAGAAGTAAACACTACCTTGAACATGGGGTTTCAAGACCTTGCTTTTGTTTTATCTTTATAAGATATGCTACATATTTTTAAAATTTTTATTATTTAGCCCTGGCCAGTTTGGCTCAGCGGTTAGAGTATCGGCCCACAGACCAACCAGTCTTGGGTTCAATTCCGGTCAAGAGCATGTACCTCGGTTGCAGTTTGTCCCCGGTCCTAGTCAGGCTCGTGTGGGAGGCAACCAGTCTATGTATCCCTCTCATATCAATGTTTCTCTCTCTCTCTCTCCCCCTCCCTCCCACTCTATCTGAAGATAAATAGGAAAATATCCTCGGGTGAGGATTAAAAAAAAAAGTTATTGTTTAGTTTCTCCTGTTTTGAACTTTATGAGATGTATTAGGCTACATGTAGTCTTTTGTTATTAGTTTTTTCCCTTCATTGTTTTTCATATTCATTCATGTCGTTTTGGTATGTGTGGTTCATACATTTTCACTGTGTAAATATTCCCTGATTTACTTATCTACTCTTTAGCTGATGAAAAGTTGGGCTGTTTTTTTACTATTAGCAATGCCACTGCAAACGTTCTCATTAGTCTAGTCTCCTGGGACCCGCGTGTGAGCGCTTCTTTAAGGTAAATGACGGAGTAAAATTGCTGGTGCAGGATACTGCATGCTTAACTCTAAAGATAATGCCAAACTGATGATCGAAGTGGTTGTACCAACTTCTGTAACCCCTCCAACAGCATAAAAATGCATTTTCTCATTAATTGCTGGTACTGCCAGACTCTGTCATTTTTACCAAGTGAACTTCAGTTGGTATCACATTGAAGTCTTTTAAAAAAATTTTTTTAAATTAAGTTTTAGAGAGAGAGGAAAGGAGAAGGAGAGAGAGAGAGAGAAAGAGAGAGAGAGAGAGAGAAACATCAATGTGAGGGCAGAACATCCCTCGGCTGCCTTCTGCACACCCCCTGTCAGGGATCGAGCCCAAAATCCAGGCACGTTCCTTGACTGGGAATCGAACTAGACAATGCCAGGGCACACATTAAAGTCTTAATTTTACATTGATCTAATTACTAATGATGATTTGTTTAGTTACTAGTAATGTTGAATATCTTTTCGTATATTTATTCACTTGAGCTTCCATTTCTGTGAAGTGCTGTTTATGGCTTCCCGCTCCCCTCTGCGGCCCCTAATTTATTGTTGAATTGCTTCTCCCTTGAAATAAATTTGTAGAGTTCTGCATGTAGTCTGCATACTCACTTTTTCTTGGTTATATACTGTAACCCTCTCATCCTGGTTTGAGTCCAGGTGGGCATGAGGTGAGCTAGTGAGGGTATGTTTCCTTGAAAGGCAGCTTCTACTACTCAGCTGTGGACAGTAGTCACCTGGCAGAGTGGACCTGGTGTGATTAGCTCTTCCAGCTAAAAAGAAAAAAGAAAAAGATGCATGAAAACCCCCTCTGTTTTTCAATGTTGTCCATATGGTCTCTTTAGCATGAAATGAACACATGTCCCAGGTAGAGCCCTGAGGAACTCGACATTCAGGGACCGTCACAGTAGACTGAGAAGGAGTGGTGGGACCTGAGGAGAGTCACCCAGGAGAGTATATCATGGAGCCGCAGTGTGAGCCTTCCCAGAAAGAGGAAATAGGCACCGGGGTTGAAATGGCTAGATTTCTTTTTTTTTTTTTTTTTATCCTCACCCGAGGACATTTTTCCATTTTTTGTTCAGGTAGAGTGGGAGGGAGAGAGAGGAACAGAGAGAGAGAGAGAGAGAGAGAGAGAGAGAGAGAGAGAGAAACATCGATGTGAAAGGGACACATCGAGTGGCTGCCACCCGCACAACCGACCAGGGCCGGGGACAAACTGCAACCGAGGTACTTGCCCTTAGGGGGAACCGAACCCGGGTCTCTCTGGACCGCAGGCCGACGCTCTAACCGCTGAGCAAAACCGGCCAGGGACATTTATCACTTTTTTTTGTGGGCAATACCATCATATGAATGATATCAGTGAACTGATTTGCTGTTTTCTATTTGCTAGTTAAGTGTATACGGGAATTCCAGTTGGCACTTTGACGAACTACGAAACCAATGCTATTTTCACCAGTTTACAAAAGAGCAACCTGATTTAAATTTCCGCAATCCTGATGTTCAAGAAGAAATGAAAGTGAGTATAGACACCTATGCAGACTTCTCTATGACATGGTGCTTACGTGGATATTTGCTACACTTTATGTTGGACAATAACCGTGTGGGCAAAATCAAGTTGTGTAATTTCTGGAATTAAGGGGTCAGTCAGATGCAAACAGACGCTCCTCTAAGCCCAGACAAACAAAACGGGAGGGAGGCAGAAAGCCCTGCGACCTTAGCTGAGCTCCCTGGCCGGTGCTGAGCTGCACAGGGAGGCCCGGGCTCTGGGGCCTGGCTCCTGGTCCGCAGCAGCCCCGCCACTGGCCGCAGTGAGCTGCCGAGGGAGTTCCTTGGCTTTTCAGCTTCCTCCCCTCTGTGAAGCCAGCTGATGGCAGCATTTGTCTCACGGGGGGTTTTGAACATCAGAGGAGACCACCACGCGCAGCACTTCTGTGTTCACTCGGTGGCAAGTGTTAACTCGTCTGCTGCGCCAGGTCCGGTGCTAAGCGCTGGCTGGGAATGTGAATAAGAGCAGCTGTGCCCTCGCGGGGTTCCCGGCATGGGGGGGGGGGGGGGGACGCGGCAGACAGTTAACCGAGCGTGTGTCAGGTGGTGAGGAATGCCGAGGCGCAGGGCCCCGGAGGGCCAGGCAGCTGGTTCGTGACGGCCCGAAGATGAGGCCCGGTTGGGACAGAGCCTGAGGTTCGGAAGGGCGCCCCAGGAATGTCTGCGGGAAGCGGGTTTCGGGCGAGAGAGGAGCGATGCGGGGCTCGATGCGGGGCTCCCCGCGGAGGGGGCGCTCCCTATGCTTCAGCAGTGACCCGAGGCCGGGCCCGGGGTTGCCAGATAAAATGACAGGACACCTAGTTAGAATTTAATTTCAGATAACAGGGAATAATGCAACATTTAGGACATACTTCTAGTAGAAAATCATTCATTGCTTGTCTGAAATGAAAGGCAGCTGGCCGTCCTGTATTTATCCGGCACCCCACGAGCGTGCTGGAGTGCGCAGGGAGGGCCAGGAAGCTGCGCCTAGCGGGTGGGCCCCGAGTGCCGGCGCGAGGGGTGCAGGCTGAGCTGCTGAAGGTCCTGTGTCCTTGCACAGGTTTCCCCTGTGACCCAGGTGAGGGCCCGTGGAACTTGTGCTCTCACCTGTGTGGTGGCCGTTCCAATAATACCTGACACATAATTCACAGTAAGCATTAGCCATGTCGTTGTTGTCATTACTGCTGCTGCTCTGGTTACAGTGGGTAAGAATTGAGGTTAGTGGAGGGGGGGGGGTGCTCTGAGCTAGGTGGGGAGGAGAACAAGGCGGCACGGGTCCCTTTCTACTGCTCATCACGCCAACCTAATGAGAGGATGCAGCCTGCCATACTGGACCCGCGAAGGCATCCGCACTCCGTAGGTTGTTCTTGTTATTTATTTATTTATTTATTTATTTATTTATTTATTTATTTATTTATTTAATCCTCACCCGAGGACATTTTTTCATTTTTTGTTCAGGTAGAGTGGGAGGGAGAGAGAGGAACAGAGAGAGAGAGAGAGAAACATCGACGTGAAAGGGACACATCGAGTGGCTGCCACCCACACAACCGACCAGGGCCGGGGACAAACTGCAACCGAGGTACGTGCCCTTAGCGAGAACCGAACCCGGGTCTCTCAGGACCACAGGCCGACGCTCTAACCGCTGAGCCAAACCGGCCAGGGCTATTTATTTATTTTTGATGTGCAATACATATTTATTGAAAGAACTTTATGAAAATCATTTAAGAAAACATTAGATATGCCTGGACGGTACGGCTCAGTGAATATCGTCCCATGGACTGAGAGGTCCCAGTTCGAATCCAGTTCAGGGCACATGCCGGGGTTGTGGGCTCAATTCCCAGTGGGGGACGTGCAGGAGGCAGTCAATCGATGTTTCTCTCTCAAATCAATGTTTCTATCTCTGTCTCAAAAAATCAATATTACATAGACTGTGACTAGAGGCCGAGGAAGGTCCCTTCCAGCTCTGAGATTTTCTTTATTGTTGGAAGTATTACAGATGTCCTCCTTTTCCCCCCCATTGGCTCCCTCCTCCCCACTCCCACCCCTCTCCTGGCTTCCCCACACTACTGTCTGTGTCCATTGGTTATACATATATTGTTTTGTTTTTAAATACTAGCTTTATTGAGATATAATTCGCATACTATAAAATGCACCCCTTTCAAGTGTATCATTCAGTGGTTCGGTATATTCACAGAGTTATGCGACTATCACCACTAATTTCAGAGCATTTTCATCATCCCCAAAAGAAATTAGTACTCATTAGCAGTCACTCCTTGTGGCTTCCTCTTATTCCCCCAGGGCCCAGGCAAACAGTAATCTACTTTCTTTCTCTGTGGATATGCCTATTCTGGACATTTCCTATAAAGGAAATCACATAATTATCTATCTATATGTCTATGATATATGTCTATATTTATAATCTATAGTTAACTATTTGAGAAACTGCCAAATTGTTATCCAAAGCAGCTGTACCATTTTATGTTCCCAGTGGCAATGTATGAGGGTTCCAATCTCTCTATCTCCTCCCCAACACTTACTGTCTGGATATTTGATGGTAGTCACCCTCCTGGGTGTGAAGTAGTATGTCACTGTGACTTTAATTTGCATTTTCCTGATGGCGAATGACGCTGAGCATCTTTTCATGGGTTTACAGTTTATTTTTATATATTCATTGGAAAAAATACCTATTCAAATCCTTCACCCATTTTTAAATTGTGTTGTCTTTTTTATTGTTGAGCTGAAAGCATTCTTTATATAGTCTGGATACATGTAATTAATTTTATTCCATTCTGTGGGTTGTCTATTTATTTTCTTGGTGGTGTCCTTTGAAACATAAGCATTTTTAATTGTTATGATGTCCAATTTACTGTACCTATTTTAAAAATTTTGTTGCTTGTGCTTTTAGTGTCATAGTTAAGAACCATTGCCTAACCTAAGGCCACGAAGATTTACTGCCATGTTTTCTTCTAAGAGTTTTTTAGTTTTAGCTCTTACATTTAGGTCTCTGATCCATTTTTGTTACTTTTTTTTTTTTTTTCACATCTTTATTGTTGGATGTAAAATGTATTACAGATGTTCCACATTTTTCCCCCATTGACCCCCTCCTCCCCAATCCCGCCCCCCTCCCACCTTTTCCCACCCTATTGTCTGTGTCCATTGGTTATGAATATAAGTTCTTTGGTTTATTTCTTCCCACCCCCCCAACCCCTTTCCCTTTGAGGTTTGTCAGTCTAGCAATGAATTTGTGCTTCTTAATCCCTTCACTTTTTTCACCCATTCCCCCAACCCCCTTCCCAACTGGCAACCAACAAAATGTTCTCTGTATCTATGAGAATGTTTCTGTTCTTCCTGTTCATTTTGTTTGTAGATTCCATTGTTGATAGATATGTATTCATTGCCATTTTGTTTGTTCATACATTTTATCTTTTTCTTCAAAAAGACCCTTCATCATTTCATATAATAACGGTTTGGTAGTGATGAACTCCTTTAACTTTTTCTTGTCTGGGAAAGTTTTTATATGGCCATCGATTCTAAATGACAGCTTTGCAGGATAGAGTAATTTTGGTTGTAGGTTCTTGGTTTTCATCACTCTGAATATTTCTTGCCACTCCCTTCAGGCCTGCAAAGTTTCTTTTGAGAAATCAGCTGACAGCCTAATGGGAACTCCCTTGTAGGTAACTAGCTGCCTTTCTCTTGCTGCTTTTAAGATTCTCTCTTTGTCTTGAACCTTTTGCATTTTGATGATGATGTGTCTTGGTGTGGGCCTCTTGGGGTTCATCTTGTTTGGGACTCTCTGTGCTTCCTGGACTTGTATGTCTGTTTCCTTCACCAAGTTAGGAAAGTTTTCTGCCATTATTGTTTCAAACAGGTTTTCGATTTCTTGTTCTCTCTCTTCTCCTTCCGGCACCCCCAAGATGTGAATGTTGGCATGCTTGAGGTTGTCCCAGAGGCTCCTTACACTATCCTCATTTTTTTGGATTCTTTTTTCTTTTTGCTGTTCTGATTGGGCGTTTTTTGCTTCCTTATATTCCAAATCGATGGTTTGCTTCTTGGATTTACGTACTCTATTATTGAAGCTATGTAAATTATTCTTTATTTCAGTTAAAGCCTCCTTCGTTTCTAACTGTGCAGCGATCATTTCTGACTGGTCCTTTTTTATGCTCTTGAGGCCCTCACTGAGTTCATTGAGCATCCTTATAAGCAGTATTTTGAACTCAGCATCTGTTAGGTTGCTTATCTCCATTTCGCTTAGTTCTTTTCTTGGGGTTTTGTTCTGTTCTTTCATTTGGGACCTGTTTCTTTGTCTCCTCATTTTGGCTGCCTCCCTGTGTTTGTTTCTGTGTATTACTTAATGAGAGGTATGGGGCTCGCTGAGACCCGATGCTGCTCGTTTGAAAGAATTTAGGAAAAACCTGAAGCAGGATCCAAGACAGGCCAATCCTATGGTTAAGCAAGTGGCAACAGCTTGGGTGAGCTTGAAAGTTGGGTGGGGCGGGGCCTCAGGGAGTCAGCAGGGCGGGGCTACCAGTGTGAGCCAGGTTGCTGGAGTCCCAGATATGGCTTCTGTCTGCCGCCCCAGGGAAGGGCTCACCAAAGGAACAAAGGCCTCTGACAGCACGTTTGTCCCGGAGGAAGCCCCCTCTCCAGCCCTCGCTCCAGTGCCAAACAGCTCAGTTCTTCCCTGTATGTCTCTGGCGCCCCTGGAGCTGCCTCCCCTCCAAGCTTAGAGGGAGAGAGTCCGATAAGTCCGTGCGCGGGCCCTTTAGGGAGCTGCCTGGGGCTCCAGCCGCGTCAGCTTCCCTGAGCCTCAGTTCCCGCTGGTTTTTCCAGCCAGAAGTTATGGGGATTCTCTTCCTGGCACTGGAAACCTGAGCGGGGCACCTGGTGTGGGACGGGGACCCCTCAGTCCTCAGGAAGGACCTTCCCAGCCCTGGGAGCCTCCTGATTTTTATCCGCCACACGTGGGTGTGGGACCAGCCCGTCGTGCCGCTG